ATTTTGCACATTTTTGCGTATAACTTCGGAACTAGATGAGATAGAATAGAGCATTAAACGGCCAATCGGCTTATTTTTTCATGCTCTTTCAGACGAAGCAATAAGATAGATGAAGCAATTTTTGTTGCTCATACCCTTTAAAAATACTATACACTATAACTGTCTCTAAAAGTATCTAAGAATATTGACATATTAGTGGAAGTAGTAAACTAATTTTATAATTAGGTGCAATAGCTGTTAATCATATAGAAGTCATAAAGTTATTTTAGGCAAAACTAAATGATTTTTACAAATTAAATGGATTATAACCATTTTAAATAGATCATATTACACATGAAAAAATTACAAAATTAACTTACTAAAATACCAATTAATATCCTAAATTATCATGTTATATATCTGTCTGTACAAGCACATGAGCTTTTATTTGGCCGTTATATCTGCAAAAATATATAGTCAAAATGTTATTAAATTTGTGTACTTAATATTAAATTTTATAGAAATATGATTTCCATTCAGTAGTGTTATTGAGATCACTGTCGTTTGTTCAATTTAATACCGCATCCATGACAAACAGACAACTTCTTCCATTTTTCAATCTCGTCAACGACATCAATCCTTTGCATGGTATCTTCAAGTATCTTCTTAAGAGCCCCCACATTATTTTTATGATTTGATGATCCCCACTGACAGAGTACTTTTTTGGCAGTCCCCACTCCTCCCTCTCTTTCATATTTCTTTTCAATATATGCAGCCGTTGTTTGGTCGAAGCTACCTAAAGCGCTCATAAGTGGTTTCTTGCTACGATCAGCTAAGTCGAGTAGTTTGCAAATTTCGCCAAAACAATCATTTTCGATTTTACAAATGGGCCATTTGTCCCGGTTACTTGAAAGCGGTGTCTCATCTTTTGAAGTACAAAAACTACACATTTTGATTGGCTTCTTGCAGCTTTTCTGTGTTGGTATTTGTGAACGAATGGGGACTATAATAAAAAGATTTTATTTTAAAAGGTTGGTAAACAAGGTAATATTGTTTCCAAGCGCCATGTTTCCAGAAGGTGGGCAAACCATAAAACATTGTTTCTTAGCCATATATGCCGAAGGTGGGTAAACCAGGAAGCGTTGTTTCCTAGCCATCTTTCCGAAGCTGAGCAAACCAGGAAACAATGTCTGCTAAAGCTTTCTTCTCGAAAGTGGACAAACAAGAAACCATTGTTTCCGCTAAAATAATCACATGGAATAACAAAATATGTTTCTGAATTTATTGGAAAACATGTTTGCTTCGTGAGAACTGTTTCCAAAGTTGGACAACAGCGCGACACATTTAAGAAAACTTCAAGATTTTCAAATGTTTCGTTTCAAATGATGGCACGTGTAGTTGACTATTGCAAGAGCCGAAATAACCAGAAGCGAAACAAATGACAACTTAAGTTTGTTAAGGCCTGACTCCACGACAGCGAAATTCTTCGCGAGAAATTGCGTCTGTGAAATACGGATGGTTGCACATGAGCGATTATTCCATTGAATTGTCCCACTTTTTCCGCTTTCGCAGTGGCTAGAACTGACTTATACTCACTGGTGAAGCGAAATTTTTCTCACAAAGGCTAATTTATCTTTACTGCGCATGCACTTAATTCATTTCTGGCGAAATAATTATAGACAGGGGTATAAGACTTTGATTTCGCGTTGAGTTTGACGTCTGCGTTGCATGATCGCGGAAATCACATGATAGTTACTCATTATATAAGATTCACTTTCTTCCTTGGCAACAAGCCAACCTGTACCTGTGTAGGTTGGTTCATCGTCATCTTTGTTTTTCAAAGCAATCATATCGACAGATTTACCACGCTTTTCCAGTCTTCGAACTTTGTTGGCTTCTTTGTTATAGAAGGGAAAAAAGCAAAAAATAAAAATTTTGATAGTGGCCTACAACCAAGCAAAGTTATGGTACTAATAATTATAACAACAATAACAATAAAGATGAGGACAGGGATAAGGATGACAGAGTGGAATAATTCGCGTACTTACGTACCGGAAGTAGGCCAACATTACGGTCTGGTACTTCTTTGTTTTTGTTAGATTATGTAATTTATTGTTGTAAAAGAAACTAAAAGGTTCACAAAATATAGTTTTCCCGCTTGAAAACAACAACTACACCGATAATGGCGGATCTAAATAACGTTCAACGAACGTATAGTCACGTGTCCGATGTACTGTATATATTAACTGTATTACGGTACGTTATGTTCATTTATGCTAAATAATATCAACTATATAAATATAGTTTAAACTTTAAACACTTAAAGTACTTATCTCAACACCCCCACTCAGACTCAGCTCGTCCTTAACTATGATGAGTCTGACGTGTTGTTGATGTTCTTAATTCCCTAAGAGTACTGTTCTGTGTTTTTCCACTTTCACTCGAGGTAATGATTTCGTCAGAATGTCCGCAGTCATTTCTTCGGTTGGAACATAATGTATCTTTATTTCTTTATTTTCTACCCTTTCTCGAATGAGGTGTA